GGACCCTGTGGCATCTTCGTCTGGTCTTGCTGGCGTTGGTGTCGCACTAAGCGCTAGAGCTGAGGCAGCACTAATCGATTGGATCCCCATTAACAGTCGGTTATGTGCTGTTAGATTAGAAAGTTCCATCAAAGTGAGAAGAAACCGGCGTGAGAAACGATGTCTTTTCGTCATCTCCGCCTATGCCCCGACAGATTGCAGCCCGGATGCAATCAAGGATGAGTTTTACCATCAGTTAACAGTTCTTCTCCAGAAAGCGCGTTCGACAGATATTGTAGTACTAGCCGGAGACTTGAATGCACAGGTCGGGCGTCTAGGCACAGAAGAGAGTCGTCTAGGTGGCCGATGGGGACTTGTTGATCGCCAGACAGATAACGGGGAACGTTTGCTGCAACTGTGCACAGACCACAACCTGTTTCTGGCCAGCACTAACTTCCGGCACAGTCATCGCCGGTGTGCCACCTGGCGTCCTCCCTCTGCATCCCAAGCCTGGACTCAGATTGATCACATCGCGATCAGCTACCGCTGGCGTGGTTGTGTACAAGACTGCCGCTCCTTTTGGAGTACCTATCTGGAGTCTGATCATGCCCTGGTCTGCGCCAATCTCACCTTACTTTTCAGTGGCCGAAGGATTGACCACCACCAACGGATTGATATTAGTAAACTGGCTGCAACTCCTGTTGCAAGTAAGTACCGAGCGGAGCTAGCCTCTAGGCTAGCTACCACCCCACCGAAAAGTATAGACGAGCATTGGTTGCATCTTCACGACGCCATGAAAATGGCGAGTAAAGCCGCTTGCGGCTTCGCGAAACGTCCCGCTTACAAGCACTGGGTTTCTTCTGGCTCCTTACAACTGATGGAAGCCCGTCGGTCTACTCCGGGTGACCGTGAGTTTGACCACAAACGAAGGCTGTTACGTAATGAAATTGGGCAAAGCTTGTGTAAGGACCGGGAAGCCTGGTGGTCGGAGCGTGCTAATGAGATGGAAGCAGCAGCTGCATCTGGTAACTGCCGGAAGCTCTTCCAACTCATCCGAGCCACTGACAGCAAGAAGTCTGGTGTGAGTGAAACAATCTACGAGGATGACGGGATGCCAATCACTAACATCTGTCGACGTCTTGGACGATGGGCGGAATTTTTCGAAGGGCAGTTCAACTGGCCTGCTGCTCCGGCAACATCAACCAGCTTGTCCTGCTCCCCATGGCCGGTGACGACTGATCCACCAAACGAGGCGGAAGTCCGCAAGGAACTCCAACTCTTGAAACGTTATAAATCACCTGGCCCAGATGACTTACCTCCGGCTCTTTTTAAAGATGGTGGTGACTTTCTGGCTAAGGAACTGACTGCGTTGTTTGCAAAGGTTTGGGAGCAAGAAAGTGTTCCAACATCTTGGAATGAGTCAATAGTCGTCCCTATCTTTAAAAAGGGTTCACGTTGTTCCTGCAATAACTACCGGGGGATAAGTCTACTTTCGATCGCGTCCAAACTATTGGCTTCTATCATTCTTCGTAGGTTGTTTAAAACCCGAGAACGATTGACTCGCGAGGAGCAGGCTGGTTTTCGTTCTGGTCGAGGATGCATTGATCACATCTTCACCCTCCGCCAAATGTTAGAACACCGTCATACTTATCGCAGGCCAACAATCGTAGTGTTTCTTGATATCAGGGCGGCCTTCGATTCGTTGGACAGGACTGTTCTCTGGGATTGTCTATTGAAGAAGGGTGTGCCTGAGAAGTTCATTAACATCTTAAAGGCCCTGTATACGAACACCTCAGGCAGAGTGAGGGCATACAACCACTTTTCTCCCTTGTTCCATTCGAGCAGTGGGGTTAGGCAGGGTTGCCCGATCTCCCCATTCCTCTTCAACTTTGCCATCGACGACATCTTGGAAACAGCTCTGATGGATGTAAGTAATGGCGGTGTGGATATGTTGCCTGGAGAACGACTTCTCGACCTCGAGTATGCGGATGATATTGTCTTACTGTGCGATAATGCCCAAGGCATGCAATCAGCACTTAATCAGTTGGCAATCAGTGTCCGCAGGTACGGCATGTGCTTTGCACCCTCCAAGTGCAAAGTACTTCTACAAGACTGGCAGGATTCTCATCCTGTACTCACCCTGGATGGTGAGGAGATCGAAGTAGTTGAGAAGTTCGTGTATCTAGGTAGCTATATAAGTGCTGGTGGTGGCGTGAGTGATGAGATTGATGCACGTATAATGAAAGCCAGAGCGGCTTATGCCAATCTGGGCCATCTTTGGCGCCTTCGTGATGTTAGTCTGGCTGTAAAAGGTCGGATCTACAACGCGTCGGTGAGAGCAGTTTTGCTCTATGCTTGTGAAACCTGGCCTCTCCGAGTTGAGGATGTTAGACGTCTCTCTGTGTTCGATCATCGTTGTCTCCGAAGGATTGCTGACATACAGTGGCAACACCATGTTAGTAATGCAGAGGTTCGGCATCGTGTGTTCGGGCGCAGAGACGATAATTCAATTGGTGTCACCATCTTGAAACACCGACTTCGGTGGCTCGAACATGTTTTACGAATGTCGTCCCAGAGACTTCCGCGTCGTGCATTATTTGCCGACCCTGAGACTGGTTGGAAAAAGCGGAGAGGAGGTCAGTGTATGACATGGTGTCGTGGCATGAAAGAGAGCTGCAAAGGGCTAGCTTCTGTTGGTCCTTCACGACTCCCTGGTTGGGGTCCGAGAGATAGTGCAACACAGTGGCTAGAGACGTTATCGGATATGGCTCAGAATAGAAGCCAGTGGCGATCCTGCTGCAACCTTCTTTTACTTTCTACATAAAGAATGGTTCTAACTTTCCTAACTGAAAGAATCTTCTGGTTGTACATTTCAGCCCGCCTTATCTTTTCATCCTTTATCTACCTACTTTCATTATTTTGTGTGGCGCATATGTACCTGGTGCCCTTTTGTACCAATATATATGTGTTTAAATAAATAAATAATACAATATCTAATATGGGATTGCGAACTGATATAAAATCATAGGAAAATATTTCTGTCCATGGAACACGTCGATTGTATTTCTATCTCTCACTTTTTTAACTCATTTTTCCAGAAATCTTTACAAAAATTAGTATTCAGTAAATTGAATGATAGAATTCGAGGAAAATCAATGGGTCATTGTTAGTCCGTTGGCCTATTCTTTTCTTCGATCTTTTTGATTTAAACTAAAGCCAATTAAATAAAATGCGAGAAGTATTGGTAAGGACGTGAATTTCATAATGAGAGGAGCATTGGCACAATAATCCATACTTTTTCCTGTCTTTTTGGACTCCGTGAATATCGGATGATTTAGAATAAAAATGACGGACAAAGATAATGTATTCTTACCAAATAACATTTTCCCTGAATGTAATTGTGAAAAAAATCATAAAATATTGTAACAATAGAATCTCTGTTGGAATTAAAAAGTTTTTTAAAGTTTTCAAATGATCCATTCTGGCTCTGAACATAACGAAGAGCAGAGTCAGCTTAAGCGCAGGCTAATAAGAAGCCTACACAATGATCGCGAACAGTGGTGGGTAGCGAAAGCAAGAGAGATGGAAGAGGCAACGGCAATAGGTAACAGCAGACAACTATTCAGACTTATTAAAGAAACCGGTATTAGGCACCCAACTATCAGCAAAACTATCTCGGAAAAAGATGGACATATTATTCATTCTCAATCCAGGAGATTAGATCAATGGGCTAAACACTTTAGGGCTTAGTTCAACTGGCCTTTAGCCATACTTCGGCTTCCCACGATCCCCAGTCGACCTGAATGGCAAGTTAATGTATATCCCTCAATTCTTTACGAGGTTGGAAAAATATAAGAAATCTGGAGCGAGGGAGAGCAGCAGGCCCCGACAGGTTTACCCGAGATTTTTAAGGATGGCGGTCCAGTACTAGCAGCGAGATTGATTGAGGTCTTAGGTAGAATCTGGGAATCAGACATAATTTCATCTGACTGGTCCCAATCACTGATTGTGCCAGTCTATAAGAAAGGACAATCATAGAGGAATCAGTTTGACTAGTATAGTGTCTAAAATATTAGCTTCAATAATACTTGGACGCCTAACAAAATCTCGTGAAGAGCACACTAGAGAAAACCAGGCTGGTTTTCGACCTGGACGTGGTTGCATAGACCAGATATTGACTCTACGTCAGGTCCTAGAACATAGACATACATTCAGACATCCCACAATCGTAGTATTTCTTGTCCTTAAGGTGGCATTTGACTCCGTTGATCGTGAGGTTCTATGACAGTGTTTGTCACTGAAAGGAGTACCAAAGAAGTACATTAACCTCATAAAGGCTCTCTACTCGAACACAACTGGACGAGTTAGAGCCTATGGCGAACTGTCATCAGAATTGGTTACTTCAAGTGGTGTTCGTCAGGGCTGTCCACTCTCCCCATTCCTGTTTAACTTTGTCGTCGACATGCTTTTAGAGATATCACTTTCATCATCTCAATCTCCTGGAGTTGAACTTCTACCAGGAGACTCACTTGTTGACTTAGAATATGCCGATGACATAATTCTATTTGGTGAAGACGCTGACAAAATTCAAGGTCTTCTGACTACTGTAAGCAACAATGCAGGCATGTTCGGGATGCGATTTTCTCCCTCGAAGTGCAAAATGTTACTTCAGGTTTGGGTTGCATCGACACCTGAACTTATGATAAGGGGTAAAGTAGTGGAGCGTGTTGACCGCTTCACTTATCTTGGGAGTCTCATCAGCCCTAGTGGTCTTGTGTTTGACGAAATCTCAGCATGGATACAGAAGTCTCGACTAGCTTACACCAACTTGCGTCATTTTGTAGTACCAGTTTATATGTTAAGCCCATATACTTTATTCTGGCCAAGCTAATTCTCCTATACATCATGCCGTATTTTGATCTTGTTAATTATTCGCTTATTAACCTTGACTACCTTTTTATATGAGCGCATGTGTATGCACACTTCGTATCTTATTCATCATATGTCTGTCATTCATTTTTGCCTGATTATAAATATTGAGTAATGCATGCTCATAGTGAGTTGGCTTCCCCGCCATCTCCAATACGCATTAATCTTGCTTCACTCTGGAGTTGGCTTCCCAGCCATCTCCACGATGCATCATCTTTGCTTCGCTCGCTTACACTTGCTCATGTGCCCACAGCTTTCTGGTCTGTATCATTTATCAATATAAATGTAGTTGCCGCTTCCTTTTGCCTTCTGATTTTATACACCGTTAAGATTGGTATAATAACGGTTATCGAAGTGAACTATTATTGAAGCACGGCACCACAATTTATGGCGTAGGCGAGATATCCGCTAATATGATATGGCAACTCGAACTGATGTACGTACGTACGAAGTTTTACGTTGTGACTGACTGACATACGTCTGTTCTTCCTTTCGATGCATAAGGCAAACTGATCATACAGTCAACACTAAATATGATGGAAGTCGTGCATATCTTGGTACTGTACCTGTTCATCAATGAACTCTACATTTAAATCTTATCACTAATCAATTAATTTCAATAAGGATGTTTGATTTCGACCCTAATAAACATTAGATTCTATCAAACTCTAACGTATGGTGAAATTTGTCCGAGTAATCATTAATACTGGAATTAATACCATTCATTTAAGCGATGTTACTGAATAGATCTATAATTATTTGAACAATAAATGACTTGCAGCTAAGCTATCAACTGCAAGGCTGTACTTCTTTATTGTTTATATTCATCGTCTTTCTGAGATGTCTATACATTACCTCCATCTAAGAGTACAAGAGAATTGACAGAAAGGTGCGATATCCAGTGGTCCTTATCAAATAAGCCTGGATGCATACCCATGACTCCACTTCCGATCGATTATTTAAAGAAATCCTCAGCGAATCTTCTTAATGATATGCTGATCAGTTTCATCAAATAGACTTGAGGTACTAAATTTAATAGCTATCTCGTAATCATTGTCATAAAATACTTCTCGTACTGACCGAAATACAAGAGTTTGGAATGTGGTTATCATTAACGAAACTTAGTAGTACAGTGCACCGAGCATAGAACCTATGATATTTGTATCACAAAGTCAAAATGTTATCAGTAGGCGAATCACCAAGGTTTCTAGACAAAAACTCTTTGTGTTCTTTCGTAAACATACATTATTTTAGCCACTAAATTACAGTACAGTACCAGGTGAATGTCCAATTTAATTGGTAACTAATTTCTCATCATGAACTGACACTAAGGGAATCATTAGATCTCAGGGAGCACCGGACGTGTGTTCCGCACCTCCTTAGAACTCCACAGAAGTTCGAGAACACTTTAGCACACTGGATCAAACTAATCACACTCAGGCATCACAAGTATGAGTAATGGATGACTACATGTGTGGGATATGAACAAAACATCTGTTCCCTAAAATTCCGGTGAACAGCGAGGTTCATGTCAATGACAAGACAGCTAACATTTCCGTGCTGGATTGACTATTCCTGCGGAGCCTCCTAATTAGAAACACTAACCCGTGAAATACTACACGCTCAGTTCGGGAAGATGAGGCACTAAAATTGTTTGTAGACAGCAGGATTGAATATTAATAGGCCTTACCCGCAGTGCTGTATACCTAAGGGAAACTTAGGGTAGTCGTGACGCAACAGAGAGCCAGCGTCGTAAACAGACCGGCTACACCCGTTTAATAGGACTACAACCTTAATCGATGAATTCTTCAACTTCTTTTGTAGCCTATTCCACTAGGAATAACCCTAGTGATATGCAATGTAACGAACGGCGGGTAGTTGAACGCGACAGAACATAGAAGTCTGGGCTTCTGAAAAATACATTACTTGCGCCTTGTGACATGATACAGTAACCTGCTAAGCATTGTGAAGTAAGTGGGATCTCAGCTCACTTCAGTTAGATTGAAGTAATCCCGATAAAACTACTGTTAAGCAACACATCGTCCATGAAAACAGAACGACTTCCGCTAAATACTACTAAAAGCCAGGTCGGCAGAGACTACTTTTAACGAATAGAATCAAAACATTGCTAGAAATGCTCAAGAAAGGCAAACATTCCGTCTACTGAAAAATGGTTATTGTGATGACGTGATGACATGAGAGCTCTGATCGTATCAGCCTTCTTCCTGTTATTAATTAAATAGCAAGTTTAAGATGGACACAAAGTTTACAACGACTAAACGTAAAGCAAACTACAAACTAATAAATAATAACTGAAAGTCCTGAATATGTCCTGTCAGCTCTTATCAAACTTTAGCGACTGCTGAAAATTAGTTACGTGAACCACCATCATACATCCGAAAGGCAGGACTAGTGATAATTATTCTGATGAGAACACATACTTTAGGACTCCGTAAGCTCTCGTGAACGAAGTATGATAATCAATAAATAAACATCACACTGGCTGCTTAACAAAATAACGGAAGAAACCAAACAATGTTTGATTGCTGTGTGATAAAAAGAATTGAAAAATAAGTAGGCAGATTAAGTCTTTATTCGTTATCTATCGATTGACAAAAAGTTGGTCGGCTACAGTTGAAGCTACTTCATTATGCATGGTCGACTTTATGCATGTGCGTAATGAGATCAATTACGCGGCAACTGTATCCAAACTCATTATCATACCTACATGAAATAAGTTAGGGAATAATATATGAAAACATACCATGAAACTAATTTCACGAAGTTGTTGTTAAGAGATATCCCAGCCTTCGCATCAAAGATGGACGAACTGGTACTTCCAACAAAGTCTGAACTGACAACTTCATCTTCAGTGTATTCCAAAATCCCCTTCAATGGTCCAGATGCAGCTGCTTTAACTGCAGCCTTGATTTCCTCATAGGAAGCTCCCTTCCCTAATCTACATGTCAGATCAACGACTGAAACGTCTGGTGTTGGGACGCGGAAAGCCATTCCCGTTAGTTTTCCATTTAGTGCTGGTATGACTTTTCCCACAGCTTTGGCAGCACCAGTGGAAGCTGGAATAATATTTTGCATCGCTCCACGACCATCTCGCCATAATTTTGAAGACGGTCCATCTACAACCTTTTGTGTAGCCGTAAATGAGTGCACAGTGGTCATTAAGCCCTCGACTATTTCAAACTTATCATGAATGACCTTAGCCAGAGGTGCTAAACAATTAGTTGTACATGATGCGTTAGAAACCACGGACATAGACTTTTCATATGAATTTTCATTCACACCAACAACGAACATGGGTGCATCTGCAGAAGGTGCAGATATTATGACCTTTTTAGCTCGATTATTTTTAATATGAGCCTAAAGTGAACACTAGATAACACAAGAAATGATATTACCTGAGCTTTATCAATGGTCGTAAAGACTCCAGTGGACTCAACGACATATTCAGCCCCGTCCTTATCCCACGGGATGTTTGCTGGATCTCTTTCACAATGAACTGATATTAACTTTCCATTGACTTTTAACTTTCCGTTTTCAGTCGAAACCTCGCCTGGAAATGTCCCATGAGTGGAATCACGTTTTATCATGTACACCATATACTCTAAATCTATGAAAGGGTCATTCACCGAAACTACATCCACGGTGTTCTTGAGGAAAGCTGCACGAAGTACAAGCCTCCCAATACGACCAAAACCGTTAATACCAACTTTTGCTCTCGACATCTTGAAGTATACCGTACGTGACTTCGCTGATGGCACAAGCAGCAGTATATATAGCTTAGGTTATTAAAACAAAACAAAGTATTAAATAATATTGAAGCTATTCTTCGTACATGATAATATTGTTTTTCACTTAAAATGTGAGGGAAAATTATCTCAACTAAAATAACTATATTCTACTCCGGTGTCTTAAGTCATAAAAATATTGTTTACTGAGTGGATTGTAGTGGTTACAGAAAATCATCAAATATAATTGGGCGGAAAATAATTTAAGTCTATATCATCTGATCTAAATAAATGCGATCACTGGGCCTTTTCACTATTCTATGACGAAGCTGAAATCTCTACGCGAGCAATCAGAGAAGAAACTTTCCGGTAGCCAGCTTTCATATCCAGTAAAATTGATCACTTGTACATTTAAATAATGATTTAGGTATATGAAAACGTAGAAGGAACTAAAAATGGCTTTGATAGCTCGACAGATATAGTACCCCAACCTCATGAAAACCAGTGTTTCTCTACTAAGTAATCAAGTCAATGAGAAACCAATATTCTCCCGCTCGGTTCTGGAGTTAGCCACAAACTTTATGATTGCGATTTGTCCCTCCCATGTTGCAGCAGTTAGTGTTGTTGTCCACCCACGTGACTGGTACCAACTTTCGGACGAATAAGTTATTTTTATCTTTCCACTCACTTTATCATTTGCACTCGTGACCTTGTGGTGTGCGTGTAGTAGTGCAGCCGCATTCTTGTTTGTGCCTATGTATGCAGATGCATATCCTAAACGATTTGAGGTAGCACGTTTACCTTCTCGTTTTTGCATTCCACATATTCTGTCCGTATTAAAGAATTTCTGAAATAAGTCCTCCTAGCTTAATGCTTTTTACCCCTTTTATTGCTGCCATAACATAGGCAAGATTAACATGAGTAAAACATACGAAATTAAACTGAGAATTTAAGTTTGTGTTTCGTCTGTTACTTGCCAGTTTGATCAACAAATGGAATAGTACAATGGCTCCTTTGTGTAAAGCCTTATGAGGCTTTAGCGGCCCGTTGACCCGACCCCAGTTTTAATCGGCTGATGATATCAGAGTAATATACGTGCTAGTTACCCTCCTCTATGACTGACGACTTAATTGGCGCTAAAGGATAACACAATAAAATCAGCAAAATACGAGAACGTAAATTTCATTTATTTTTTATATACTGGTTGCCTCAGACAGACAGTAAAATAAACGAAGCGAAGAAGCAGATCTGAGGAGAGTTGAAATGTGAAAAAAGTACCGATGAAATAATGCGATTTGAGCTCGTAAAATTGCTTGCTGTACTGCCTTCGCCTCTTGCTCCGGATTCGAGAAATTCAGTCATTTGAGTTTCTCGCCGACCGAGTCAGCTACGTTTAGTTCGTTAACCGAATGCATAAAGTTCAAGTTCTTAGTCATCGTAGTTTGTACATTGTGCTAGGTTCGAAGAATGACCAACTAGTTTTTTGGTTGTTGTTCCTTACAAGTAACACTCATTTCATAACAACTATCATTTTAAGCAAAGATGGATGGTGTCTAGCAATGGAATTCGGGACGTGCGTTTCATTCTATTTGAGACTCGTAATCTGAATATACCTGCATCCACATAGGATGCACACACGTCAATAAGAGACTGATCAATTGCAGTCCTGAACAACAATGGGAAGACTAAAACAAACGACAAAATATGAAATTGTCGTTTTGTTCATAATACACCATTTTGCTGTCAGTAACATTTGTTATGGTTTTGTTTTCATTCATATACAGTCACTTCGGTCTACAGTCTCGATATTTTCTTGGCGCATTATTGACCTTGCTTACTTGTAAGTCTTGGGTAAGTCATTTTAATAGGATTCAACTGAAGGCATGGAACTTAGTTACAGATCTCTTATGCCTGTCTTCTTAATATTCACAATAACGACCCAAGAAGCCCACTCAATGAAGCCCACCATTCAAAAGACCTAGCTTCTGGCCATGAGAAACTGTACATCGTAATTGGTGTTCATGCCACAACATCTAAGATAAGTCGCCCCGAAGCTGCAGAAAATCACGCTGATTTGTAGTGACACCGGTCCTTGCCAAACAATTCTCAAATCTGAATATGAGATAACTGAGAAAATAGATATTCAACATGTTTCATCAAGATAACGTCAATAATGGTGAACCTGGGAACATTCGTTCAAGCGAATGTTATGGCTCAGAAGTAGTCATTCTGCATAACCTATCTTTAACTACATTAAATACACTATTTTATCTTTATCCCAAATGTGTTTTTCAAAGGCGCCGGAAGTTATATTGCTGATTCCGAAGATATGATGAGTCATGGTAGACAAAGATGAGACTATCATGTACGATCTCATAGATTGGGTAGTCGCATCAGTACAATCCTACAATTTTAGGATTAGATCTATTATTATAGCAGTATTATTAATGAACCTAGACCAGAATCTTACAGATTCTCTAGCCTCTAAGCCATTACGGCTAATCCTCCAGGAAACATTTTTGTCGGGCTGAGTTAGAAGCAACTGCAGTTTCTGGACGAATTCACCTGTTATGCGTTACAGATGTGATGACGAATATTTTCTGTCTGGTTTTCACAGAAGTTAGCATCTTTACTGTAACATAGAAAGATCATAAGCGAGATTTGTTTTTAGATTGCAAGGGTTTGACAGAAAACCTATCGCGACATGTGGTATGAAGTGCTTTTATCTGGTTCCAGATCTCGTTATTTCAGATGTTTTAGTGTATGACATTAACATAGTCCTGATGGAATGTCACAATCTACTTGTATACCCGGTCAAACGGACGTTACTATTTGGAAACACTTAGCCATGTCTTCAAAGAGAGTCATTCTCTGATTCCACGTCGTCCAATATTCCAATGAAACCGACGTTCATTCTGCACTTTCAACAATAATTACTTAATTAATATATATTCCCAAATAACAATATGTTACAGAAGGCATAGTAGTTTGTAGACAAGATCGAATTGTTACGGATGATGTAGGCTTCACTGTAATAAATTACTCAGGTTGGTATTTTACAAAGCATATTCGTGAGAGAATCAGAGGGACAACACCTCTCACATATGAACATGAATAATGTTAGTAAGACTCGAATCGCCAACTTCAAAGTCCGCACGCTTCATAGAGGTTGCGTTGAGATGTGTCACTGATGACCGAGAATGAATCCACGTAAAGTGGGAAGATCCCAAAAACACAACCATATATTCCTCTGAAATATTTGAGGTATTGACGATTGCTCAGGACAAAGGTTTGTGTGTCCATATGCGTTTTTGGTGGTACATTACGAAGGTGATGAAAAGGAAAGCAAAAAAAGAAAATATAAAAGGCAGAGCAGATAATGTTCAGGACTAGTAAAGTTCATTCATTTGTTATGGAGTAATTAGGGCATGACTAAATGGGCTTGTTCTATTTTATTAAGTCAATCGTGACAGGTTAAAGAAAGCAAGCCTGAGTACAGCAACGAACAAACGAACCGTTGTTCGTATAGAGGTGATTCAAAATGACAACAGTTTAGGATTACGTGTCGTTTCAAAATACAGTACGGAAAACACTTTATTCGAGTGAACCAATGGCTCTCTCTCTCATTATTCGTCAAAGCCATTTAAATTCATTTTTATTATTATAGGTTTTGTGGGATCAATAGTTGGAATTCGTTTTAGCGTAACTGTCTAGTATTATTTGTGATAGGGTCTCTCAGTGGGAAGTAAAACCGATACAATATTACAAACATGGAACAAAGAGGTATTTCACATAAGAAGTTAGCATCAGTACCATTGGTTAGTTACATCCCGCTAGACCATGAGGAGCAGCAATTTAACAATATGTTCTGCCCTACAGACATGGGTGAGATGAGGTTAGCTCCCAACTATCAGGCATGCTGATCAGTTACGTTACCCTCCCTCCGTTTGTGATTTTAGGCTCTCTTACATTTGTGGTATGTGTGAATATTGCTTTAATCTAACCTTTATGTTGAACACTTCGTTGAAATACACTATATCTGTTGGTTCCACGTTACAAGCAAATCAGAAAACTAAAGCTTCTGTACCGTTGGTCAGATATCCGTTTGGTGTATCACACTGCTATGAAGTCATCTAATGGCACAAATTGTAAGATACTGGCGAGATGATAAGGACAGATAGCAGATCAAATACTATGAAAGAAGGGTTTACGATTGCGAAATTTCAGAACGAGACGATAAGAACGTAAGAAAAAAACATTAAGAGTGTAGATGATCTGTGTCAAATGATTGAGGGCCTACTTGAGTTGACCGGGAATGGTGTGACGAACCAACTAACTTCAAAGTCACACCTCACAGTTGTTGGATCCATTTTGCAAGTGAAAATCCCTCCATGCATACACTTGTGATTTCTTCCTTACGTTTTCTTTATTTGTACATGCTGTTAACATTTTTATTCTAATTAAGTCTGTGACGTTCAGTTTTCTTGGTTTTACTATCGTTTTTTATTGAGTCTCTATGTTCCTTACTGAGCTGTATCTAGTTTGTTTTAATTGCTATTATTCTGGCATCTGCCATATTGGCTGCTCGCTATTTGATTGTGCGGTTGATTTTGACTGGGATCGTGCATTTTGGTTGTAATTTGGAGCACTTTCCCAGAAATTGAAACACTTGGTGTTATAAAATAACCACTCAAACGGAATCTCCCTTGATCTATCCAGAAAGGATAGAATAACGCTTATTCTTTGGTGTTTTTTGGTAATTTTTCATATATTTCTAATCACCTTGCTATTTATTGTAATTTAGATTGGATATTTTTGTATCAATTGTTGGTTGAATAACCGGGTGATAATATTCGTTTAGGTAAATTTGTGCATTTGTATATATGATGAATTACAGAACCGTGTCAAATATATACCTTGTTTTGATTTAAACCGAGACACGAGTGTCTAAACTATCTAACGGTTATTCGGCCACATCCAGATCTATTGGAATCTAGGTTTGGATCTTACAACAGTCAACACCTAAAGTGGATTACTCATTGGTCGTATCGAGGTATTTTGGCTACTATGAAGATCGTGTAGCACCAAGAATGTTATTACGAAACGTATTAGTAAAAGTAGGTACAATGAGGTCGCGGCCACCACCTTATGGGCCAGTCT